TGCTCCTCAGAAACCCTATACACAGTCACTATGAGTCAGAACCTACTCAACAGCACTTAATCATAGTAACAACGATTAGGTTTAGGATCTACTGCTCTGACCTAAATGAACTGATTCCATGATATCACATTGAATTATAGGAGATGATTGTATTATGTTATATCACATCATATTGCACAATAGAAGATAATCTACTCTGCCCAAGGCCAAACTGATTGGACGACATGATTATAAAACAGCATATGGTCAGGATTTCTATACATATTTTCAGGACACACCGCTCGTGCCTTAACACTGGGTAATAGGAAAGGCAGAATGGGAAGAACCAAATGCAAATTTGACATAGGTCACAAAAGAGCTCAGAGACTCTGTGCTGACTTCTAATCTGGCCGCTTTGCTGCTGTTGCTAGTGTCATTGAATCAGTTCCAGCTCATAGGACCCTGTAGAGTGTTTCCAAGGAGTGGCTGGTGGGCTTGAACCACCACCCTTGTGGATCATACTTCAATGCTTATCCTACAGTGCCACACCAGGACTCCAATCTGGCAACTTTAGTGTTGTTGTTGTTAGGTGCCATTGAGTCCGTTCCGACCCATATGACACTATATAGGGTTTCTGAGGAGCGGCTGGTGAGCTTGCAGTTCAAACTGACTTTGCAGTTCAGTGCATTAACCCACAGCACCACACCAAGACTCCAGCTTTACTACCTATCAAATCAGGATAATTTTGTTGTTCCCCCCTAAGGATCCCCCAGGAGGGAGCCCTGTGGGTTAGACATTAGACTGCTAACCACAAGGTCAGTAGTTCAAACCCACCAGCTACTCCACAGAACGGTAAGTGTGTCTGCTCCAGTGAAGATCTGCAGTCTCGGAAACACCACAGAGTAGTTTTACTCTGTCCTATCTGCTCCATGTGAGAAAGATGCGGCTTTGTGCTCCCATAAAGATTTACAGCCTTAGAAATCCTATACAGGGTGGTTATGAGTGGACCCGACTCGATGGCATGCAACCACCACCCCTGCTCGGTCACCGGGTCTCATAGGGTTACTGTAAGTAGGAATCAAATTGAAGGCAGCTGCTTGGGTTTTGGATTTAAGGACTCCACAGGAATCCCTGGATAGCTCAAGATTTTGTACTCAGCTGCTAAGCAAAAGGTGAGCAGTTTGAACCCACCCAAAACTGCCTCCAAAGAAAGGCCTGGCAACTCGGCAGCAACTGGCTTTTGAAGGACACCACAAAAGTGTGACCACTGATTTCAATGGGCATATGTACCATCACTAAGTGATGGATTACAAAGCGCTAACAGCTCATTGGCTTCTCACACAGCCCTGATGTGGGCCAGGTGTTGTTGTTAGGTGCTGTAGGCATTATTACTTTTTCATGCAGTCTGGGACTAGCATCAGGGTCTCCAGACTCCAAATACACTGTCTCCAAACTCCAAGTTGTACAAATGACTTCCTCTGAGAAAGTCCCTTACCAAAAGTCCCTGGACCGCCATGGTCATCAGGTCCCCAATAGGTCATGGGAATGGTATGGGATGACCCAGCCAGTCCCAGGGTCCCTGTCCACAAACACCTTTCCCTTTGGTGGTTTTCCAGAAATTGACTTTTGAGTTCAACAACAACCATGAGTCTCTGGACGATGAGCTGCACCTCCTCATCTTATCCTGCAGGAAGCTGTTTTACTTTAAAATCTGGGCTTTCCTCGAGATTCGATTTGTGGAACGGATCCTGAAGAGTCAGCAAGAAGGCCAGTGTGCCCTGCGCACACTCAAGGTAAGACGCCCCCAAGGCCAGTTCCATGGGTCGATGGTGAGGGCAACTGAGCCATGGGCCCGGGCCCCCAGGACAGTGGGCATCTGGGAGTGGTGCTCCTGCTGTGGGACTCACATGGGATGAGCCACCTTAAGGTTCATTTCATCCTACTTTGTCCAATGAAAACAAATGACTTCATAGAAGGGAATTGTGAAAATTCTTCCTTACTAGTTATCAGGGCCTTTTTGATTCCCCCAAAGATTTGGACTCTTTGGAGATCCTTTGGACTGTTTTCAATGCCTGGTTGATGTAATCACCGTGTATTCGTGCTTCTCTGTTGACACAGGTGAGAATTTATACAAACAGATATGAGACGAATGAGGAGGACAGGACTCTGCGAGAAATTTACAGGAAGTACCGAAAGCTGATCAGTTCAGAACTCAATTATTTTGTCATTGCTTACCCCATGATGTAAGGAGCACTCTACAGAGGAAGACAGCTAGAGCATTTTGGACTTTAAAATCTGTTTCCATCCCATGATGTAAGGAGCACTCTACAGAGGAAGACAGCTAGGGCATTTTGGACTTTAAAATCTGTTTCCACTAGGACTACACTTGGGGCATTTCCATCCTCCTCCACCGCTTTTTCTTCTCTCTTTCCTTTTTTTTTTTTTTTGCCAGTTCCACACCAACGTGACCCACCCAGCAAAGACTGGGGCTGCAGGGGCTGTGAAAGCCCCTGGTGATTTTAAAGTACAGTATTACCAACTCTTGAGGGGTGAGTTTTCTTTCTGTCATTTGGTTTTGGTTTTTTTTGGTACCCTTGCTCAGTCACAGAGCTAAAAACCCAAGGCCACTCACTCAAAGCATCTTTTTACCAGGTGACCCTGGTCTGCTGAAAACCAAATCAAATCCACTGCCATCAAGTCAAGACAGAGTAGCATTGCCCCATAGGGTTTCTAAGACTGAAAATCCTTCTGGAAGCAGACTGCCACATCTTTCTCCTACGGAGTGGCTGCTGAGTTCAAACCACCAACCTTTCATTTCGTAGCCGAGCATATTAACCAACTGCACCACCAGGGCCCTCATGCTCTTGAAAAATATACATAAATAGCCATTGGTAGTCTGTAGATGGTGTAAAGGGTTAACATGCTGGGCTGCTAACAGAAAGGTTGAAAGTTTGAGTCCATTCAGGGGCACCTTGGAGCAAAGCCGTGTCGATCTACTTCTGGAAGATCAGCTATTGATGCCCTTATGGAGTATGCATCTACTCTGTATGCATGGTGTCACTGTGAATCAGGGCTGAAACAACAACTGGAAATATGTTCTCTTCATTCAGATATTTTTTTTCCTTCAGAATATCAGAAACTGTTCACAGATACAAAACTCTAGCTATCAATTATTGAGCATCTATCTACTACATCAGATACCATAGCCTTACTGGGTGTTTTACATACAGCATCTCCTTTTATCTGCATTTCTCCACAATCCTGCATGATGAATGTTTCTGCATCTGAATAAAAGGTCAGGAAAAAGAGGATCCAAAAGGTTAAGTGTCAAAGCACATAGCTGGCTACTGGCTGACAGAGCTGGAATCAGACCTGAATCCCATCCTTAACTTGTCCCATATATTGTGCAATGGCTGAGGCAGCAATCTTGGTAAAATTCTGGTTCAGGCATTTTAGAAAATAGTTACTTAGAATCTGACAATGTTTGTCAGACTTGAATGACTGACAAGAAGCTCCTGAGTTGCTACGCAGTAATCCGTGCCTTAGCGATGCATCCCTGGAATGTATGGACACTTGTCTAGAGGAAGAAATCTACAGCAGAAAAGGGTAGTTTACAAGGTGTGTGGACAACATGACTTGAGATCAGGAACAGAAGCACAGAGAAGCTAAGTAACTTTCCCATGATCACACAGCTAGTACATGGCAGAACCAGGATTTGAACCTTGATCTGTTTAACCTCGAGGTCAGCATCTCATCTATAAAATGGAGCTAGGGATAATAGCATCTCCTCAGGCTTTATAGTGAGGACCACTTGGTAAGTTGAGGGTCACAGCCCAAAATGTGATAGGTCATCATGACTACCGAGTAGTTGATTATCTGGGGTGGTCTGTGGCTAGAGCCACAGAAGTGAATCATGAAAGAATTGAGGCAGGACATGAGAGAATGAAAAAAGACATTTAAAAGGAGGCCAATGTGAACAGGAGCCAAAACTGGGTTCTGATACACAAACTGATCACGTGGTGTAATGGCTCAGTGAATATGGGGTCAAATGCTCCGCAGGAAGCTCTTTACCAGGGCTGTTATTGCATTCTATCCCCTACTCACCATATGAAGTAGGAGCCCACACTCTTAACCACTAGGTTGAATCTGTGGTAGGAACAGTAGGGTTTTTTCCCTTTTCTTTACTGTTGCTTGAATTTTGTTTTGAATACTCCTGATGATTACTAATTGGTCTGGAAACACCAAATTCCAACTCAGTTGGCAAACATTCAGGAAAGAAAACAAGATCCAAAATTCCTCACCGCATGGTGGCGCTCAAAGGACATGCTATGTGGCTAGCTGGAAGAGCTGGTCTCCATGCATTCTGACGAAGCACTTACTGGGATCTAAATACTTGCTGCACAGAGCCACCCTTCCAGTCCTAGCCCAGCCCCATCAGGATTGACCACTCCATCCTCAAATGTCACTCCTGCCATCAGAGCTACCCACCCCACATTGACACTACAACGCACAGCTGATGTAACCAGAGACTTCCCCATTCTGTAACCTCCCAACCCTAGACAAGGGCCATCTGACTCATCCCTACCTCGATGAGTAGTTGAAAGCTGGACCTGCCTTGGTCTATCCTGCCCTCTTCATTGCACACAGAGAAAGCAAACCCAGAGAGATGGCTACAGGTGTCTGGGAGGGTTTGAGGGGACCCCTGATCCAGGACCACTCCTTTTTCATCTGAGCTTTGCTTGACTTGAATACACTGATATCTAGGGAAAAGGAATTTGAAGGACCAACAGCAAGGCTTTCATCCCAACTCATGAGTAAGATGGTCATGGTCCAGTCCAACTACTGAACTGAACCCAATCTGAACTTAAAAGGTCTGGCCCTCCTGCCAAGCCCCAGATCCTGGATACGTAGACGTTAACTGTTGAAAGACCACTGCATCACCAGCAACAGCAGAACACTACACCCAAATCTCAGCCCCGGAGCAGACCTGGAATCACAGGTTGATTGCAGGCTGGAATGTCACTGCTTTATGGTATGGTTTAATGAGACTCGAGAATCAAAGTTCCCCTCCTATTAACAGACTGCATCAGGGCGGAGGGCCCCGGCCCAACCCCCTCGGTCTTCCCCATCCCTGGGTGGGATGGACCTCCTCATCTGCATGCACAGCACCTCATCAATGTAGATGGTGTTCTCCTTGACCTGGATCTCCTCTTGCAGGGCCAGCTGCCTGCGATTCAGCCCTTTCAGCTCTGCGTGAGCCTGGGCTAATGTTTCCTTTAACCTAGGACCAGGGAAGAATATTAAGGAACAAGTTAGCTCTCTACATCTTTTTGTTTTGTTTCATTTTTGTCATTTGATTTCTCAAACTCAAAGCTTTATTTCATCAAGTTCTAACACATTTTGCATTGACGAGTAACTTCACTGGCATCAAGAAAGAAGGTTGGAGATCATTAACCAAGAGCAATGCCCATACATCTTAGGCAATGCTAAGAAATTAATGTACGCAAATAAAGGATGTTGAAAAAGCTTCCAATGTATTCTAATGGGTAAGTTAACTTTTCATCTGTGTTAATATAGAAACCAATCACTGCTTTAGAAAATTAAGTAGAGTTTTATCCAGTTTATTTAAAAAATAAAGGAACTTGAATTTTTAATATCCAGTTTAAAAAAATAAAGGAACTTGAATTTTTAAAAATAAATTGGAAAGCCCACAAATTACTATTTTTGTTTTTTAACTTCCTTCCTCTTTAGTACATGGTCTTCTCACCCTTGTGCAAACACGCATGGAGAACTGCACCAACCCTCACTGTTGTTATGTGCCGTGGAGTCGGTTCCGACTCTGAGCGACACGGTACAGGGTTTCCGAGGCTGTAATCTTTACGGGAGCAGAAAGCCTCATCTTTCTCCCGCGGAACAGCTGGTAGTTTCGAACTGCTGACCTTACAGTTCACAGCCCAATTCGTAACCACTACACTACCAGAGCTCCTTCTAGCCCAGGCAAAACTCCAAGCATTTTCTTCAGCTTACATTTAAACATGATAGGTAGACAAGATTTAGGCCCTTGAACTCACAAAACAGCCCTTTTCTTTCTGCATGCTCACCTTACAAGTCCTTCATCAGTAATCCTAGAAAACTGACGGGTTTGCTGTTTTGTGCTTTGTGTCTTAATTCTGCATCTCTTTCTCATGGGGGAAATACATCTGTGTATTCAGGGCAGAACTCAAAAGTGGTATGACCTCTCCTTCTCCTTACGGTGCCGTTAGGTGCCATTGAGTTGGTACCGACTCATAGCGACCCTATGCACAACAGAATAAAACACTGCCCAGTCCTGGGCCAATCTCACAATTGTTGCCATGCTTGAGCCCATTGATGCTGCCACTTGGCCAATCCATCTCGCTGGGGTCTTCCTCTTTTCCTCTGACCCGCTACCTTACCAAACATGATATCCTTCTCCAGCAACTGGTCCCTCCTGACAATATGTCCAAAGTATGAGAGATGAAGTTTGGCCATCTTGGCCTCCAAGGAGAACTCTGGCTGCATTTCTTGCAACACAGATCTGTTGGTTCCTTTGGCAGTCCATGGCACTTTCAATATTCTCCTCCAACACCATAACTCAAAAGCATCAATTCTTCTACGGTCTTCCTTATTCACTGTCCAGCTTTCACATGCATATGAGATTATTGAAAATACCATGGCTTGGGTCAGGCATACCTTAATCCTCAAGCTAACATCTTTGCTCTTCAACACTTTCAAAAGGTCTTGTGCAGCAGATTTGCCTAATGCAATACGTCGTCTGATTTCTTGACTACTGCTTCCATGAGTGTTGATAGTTGATCCAAGAAGAATGAAGTCCTTGACAACTTCAATCTTATCTCCTTACAATAGAGACTTCAAATTGGTGGTCACGGGTCAGATTCATGAGACAGATTCCCCAGGGATGACCAACCTTTGAAAACTTCAGATTTTACCTAAACATCCAGATTTGGGGCTTCTTTAGAAAAAGACTGAAACCAACTTCCTGCATGGTGACAATGAGCTGGAAGGCCCTTTAGACAGGAACCACTCAGACACTTAGATGCACCTGTATCCATTGACTCACTCTCATCACTGCCTGGCCCTGTCTACAGTCTGCGCCTAAATCAAACCACAGTGACCCTCTGGTGGCTAGCCTACTGTTACCGATTAAACAGTAACTTTTTTTTTTAATGTTTTATTGTGAATTATGTGATAGTTTACATGGGAGAACATTCGTTTTACATTCATCCTATCGTATATTGTTTAATTGCTATGGTTACAATCCCCTCCATGCATCATCAACCAACCAAAGGGTATACCCTGCAAGCCTGCCCCCCCGCCCCCCAGTCATCAGCACACAGACCCTCTCCCTCTAAGGGTCTAAAGTCCCCAGCTGCTCCATCTCTCCACGTCATAGTCTCTGCCTCTATCTCTGGTGTTACTGCTTCTCTGGGTAGGGTCCGGCTCTCTGCTCTTCTCCCTTGATGGTCCCAGGGACCTCCACTCCTGGACTGCAAAGTCAATCACTCCCCTCCTTTTGCTACAAAATGTCTACCTTTACATTCCGCCTAGACAGATTGGATGCTATTCAGTGGAGATTCTACCTTCCTCTACGCCCTCTGGATCTAGATTCCCTCTTGAAAGTTTGTAAGCCAGTCACTTCTTGCCTTTGTATCCCACCCACAACCCCATTTTAGGTAGCCAATGTCTAAATTGCCCATCCCTGTCTACTATGTGTATGGAGGGGGTGGGAATGATCCTCGCTGTAAGGATTTGTTCCCTCTTTTGAGCTACTACATCCACAGGTGTATGAACAGTGACTTTTAAAAAGACATGCTCACATCCTAATTCCTGATGCTTGTGAACATGATCTTGTTGGGAAATAGAGGCTTTGCAGATGTTTTTAGTTAATATGAAGTCACATACACTAGAGTAGGATGGGTCCTAAGCCAACCTGAATGGTGACCCTATAAAGTGGAGACACTGACAAAGGACAGTCATGTGAAGACGCATCTACAAATCAAGGACTATCTGGGTCTACTGGAAACTTGGAGCGAGACAAGACAGGCTCTTCCTTTAGAGAATTCACATGGCACATGGCCCAGCCTCCAGAACTTGAGGCAGTACACACTTAGTTTGTTTTAAAGCCTCCACTTTGTGGTACTTGATGACTGAAGCCCTAGGAGACTAACTGGACTCACCTTCCAACGTTGTAGTTGATCTCCTGAACCTCCTTGATCAGCCGATACTGGGCAGTATCTCGACACAGCTCCACATTAGGTCGGTGCGTCCTGGACTCCAGGCGGGTGTGAGCCACTTTGGCAGGCCCTTCTTGATCAAGGATGGCTTTTTCAAGAGCAGTAATGTTTTTCTCCTGGGAAGCAATCTCTTCCAGGACCTTACAAAAGGAATTAGAGAGGTCTCATTGTACTCTTAACGGCATGTCAACGTAGGTATCTTATGAGGTCGGCATGGTTGATGGGACTATGTAAGTTAGGAAGAGGCAACCTCTGATTTCCACTGAAGCAGAACCTCAGTGGTGAGGAGTCTGATCTCTCTTCCCCAAACCAGTGATTGTTCGAGGACAAGCAACTGTAGAAGTTCACAGATGGAATGAACATGACCAGTCATTGTTGCCTCTTCTCTACCCAAGGGATGTGAATGCCCTCAGGAATCCCCTCAGGATATTTACCTTGTCACCTTACTTACTATGATAGAAAGTACCTTTGTATCGAGTCCTAGTGTGGTGATGTGGGTTAAAGCACTGGACTGTAAGACGGGTTTGAACTGCAAGATTGGTGGTTCAATCTCACCAGCTTCTCCTCAAAAACCCTATATAGGCTCGCTATGAATCAGAACCAACTCAAAGACATTTATCAACAACAACCTTTGTATCAGGAGCATAGAGCTGCCTCCATCGTATTAAAACCCACCCATTAGTGGTGGTGCAAACTGCGTCCAGCTGCTAACTAAAAGGCTAGAGGCTCAAGTCTACACAGAGGAGCCTCAGGAGAAAGAAAAATCAGCCACTGAGAACCCTGTGCTGCACAGTTCAACTCAGTGGGCAACTAGTTTGGTTTGGTCAGCACTAATTCGGACTTCTAGACGTCTAGAGAAAGAATAAAAGCTTTGTTGGCATTTTTGGGGGAAGCTTTTGTGCACAAGAAATGGCTACTTAGAAGTCACTTGGTTTTTTTAGATTAACATTTAATATCTAATATTTTAAATGAATTTTTCCCTCTCATTTTTCTTTTTTAACTTTGCATCATGGAAATTTTCAGTCACTAATGTAGACAGTATGATGAATCTTTATTTACCTCTCATTAATTTTAGCAATGGTCAATATAAAGCCAATATTGTGACATTTCTATTCCCCTTCTCCCCACTCCCGCCCATCAACTGAACTGTTGTTGTGAAGTGCTATCGAGTCCGTTCTGACCCATAGCAACCCTGTATAGGGTTTACGAGGAGCAGCTGGTGAGCTTGAACTTCCAACCTGGCAGTTCAAATGGCTTTGCAGTCTGGCGCATTAACCCACAGCGCCACACTAGGAGTCCTGAATAGTTTTAAGCAATTCACAGATGTATCATTTCAGCATTAAATACTTGAATATGTATCTCTAAGTATCTTTTAATATAACCACAACACTTTGATGATGCCAAACATAAAAGAATGATTCCCTAATATCATCTAATATCTACTATTCAAAACTTCACATCATTTAAAACAGTTAGCCTATTCAAATTAGAACCTACACAAGGTCCACACATTGCATTTGGTTTTCTTAATCAATTTCTTAAATTCAGTTTACAGGTATTATTCTGATTAATGGTAGGCCCCAGTTAAAACTTAGTTAAAATCCTCAAGGCATTTATAAATTTTTAATACGTAATGTTTCATTTTTGTAAGTACTTAATTGCCTTCACAGATAGGGCCTGCTGGAGTTCTTAAATAGATCTCGTCAATCTAAAAATTAAACTAGTAAAAAGAATGAATCTTAAATTTTCTTTCATGTTCTCTGTCTTCAAGTGTAACAAAATTTCAACTTCAAATCATAAGTTCTAAGTTGAACAAACATTCAACTTCAAATCAGTTACTCCATTACATATGTTAAGCTATCTTTTGAACCACAAGAACAAAATTACATATGTCACACTATCCTTTAAACAACAACATTACATATATTATGCTATACTTTAAACAAAAACAATAACAGGCAGAACTCTCTTACAGTGTACAGATACATGAAAGATCCCAAAAGCACAAATTCTTTAAAACAAAACTAATACTATAGGCCAAATCAAGAATCCGCAAACTGCAGCCACATTTAACTCGCTGCCTGTTTTTATATAGACTGTAGGATATGAATGTTGTTTTTTGTTTGTTTGTTTTTTACATTTTTTAGTGTTGAAATAAAAATTTCAAAAAATATATTTCATGTCATGTAAAAGTTATAGAGAAATCAAATTTTAGTGTTCATAAATAAAGTTTTATTAGCATACAACTAGTTCATTCATTTCATAGCTTTACACTGCTGCTCAGAGCATTACAAACACAGTGACGCCATTGCAATTTGGTGGCTTTCTGGGCACCTTGGATATGCCCACAGACAGGGGCACTGTACTTTTTTACTACCAGTACAAACCCATCATTCATGTCAAAGCAAGAAAAGTGAACTCTGTCACACATTTAAGTCACCATGGAGGGTAGATTGTTTTGTTATGGCGTTTGATGGTAAACCAAAGGGTTTATTATGCAATGACACTTGTTGTTGTTGTGTGCTGTGGAGTCCATTGTGACTCATAGTGACCCCATATAGGGTTTCTGAAAGTCTCCTCTTCCTCCTGCAGAGAGCAGGTGGATTTGAACTGCTGACCATGGGGTTCGCTGCCCAATGTGTGATCCACACTCAATGACACTGTTGTTGTTGTGTTTGCCGCTGAGTCAGTTCTAACAGCGACCTTGTTTCTAAGAGCAGTTGGGTTTGAACTGACAACCTCGTGGTTAGCAGTCCAGTGTTTATCCTACAGCACCACCCAGGGCAATGGCACTGTTGTTGTTGTTGTTGTTGTTATGTGCCGTGGAGTCGGTTCCGACCCATAGTGATCCTGTACAGGGTTTCCGAGGCTGTCAATCTTTACGGGAACAGAAAGCCTCATCTTTCTCCCATAGAACAGCTGGTAATTTTGAACTGATGACCCTGAGGTTTGCAGCCCGATTCGTAACCACTACGCTACCAGAGCTCCTTGGGTAATGACACTGGCAGTTGTAAAAGAATACTATGTGCATTGACAGTATCAGATTACCCAAAACCCACTGCCACCGAGTCAATTCGGA